GAAGTGCTCTCCTGGGATTATCGTGATGGTCAGTGAGGGGTATGACAGGTGTCACAATGAGATTGATGGATACGGAAACAGGACAGAATTCTTCACAAGAGCCATCCGGTGATGAAACGGCTACTCAGGCAGATGGAGAGCTCCCTGTTCCCAGGACAGGTCAAGCATTACCTGAGAGGATACAAGAACCCTTACCAGTGAGAGCGTGTGTAATTCCCAGACCCAGTCAAGACGAAGTCTCACCGTGGGAATGAGGGTGCAAAGGACCCAGCTGTAATGGCTGGAGTGACCTATCCCTTGGGCAGGAAGGGTCATGCCCAGGACCACCCTCAGGTCGCTATTTTAAAAAAAGCACTTCCTTCCGTCAGTGCATTTGATCAGGAAGCAGTAGGCCCGCAGGAAGCCCTGGAGGGCAGTCTCCTGTGAAGACCACCCCTCAGACTCACAGAGAACAGGCTGAGATACTTAGAGCTGGTTGAGGACGCTCCTGGGGAGACAGTCATGGCTGTGAGCTCTTGTTGACGTACAGATCCACTCATTTATCACTGGGACCCCATCCTCCCCACGGAGGGAACCCTATTAGGACTCCAAGTACAGCAAAAATAAGGACAGTGGACAGAAATGGAGGAGAGTCCCCATGTAGTCGGGCCTGTGAGTGTGTGGTGAGCAGAGACTAGGTCCTCTGCCGGAGAGAGATGATTCAGGATACGGCCAAGTGCTGTCACAGTAAATGCTAAGGGAAGGCAGAGAGGAATGGTATGTTAAGGAACCCAGGGACCTCGGATCCATAAACATAGCTCGAGAACAGAAAGTCTCCAGGGTGGGAGGGGAACATATCCAGCCCTGGATGGAGGCAGGAAATTTTTTGTGTTTGGGGCCCAGATGGGGTCGATAACGTCTCAGATTATGGGGTATCAAGGCCCGGAAATCACCATTCTGGTAACTACAGGAGTCTGCTACAAACAATGGGAATGAACTGTAATTAAAATTGTTGCCCAGGCTTGGTGGCCTTCCATACTAGAAGTCTTCTTATATGGGCACAGGGTGATTTCATGGACAGAGTAAAAGTGAACTTGGTCATGAAAGTTTGACAAGAGGTCAGTGGGTGAGCAGAAGAGCAATTCATCCATAGGTCAGTAGTGGTTCTAAGAATTGACATGGGGGTTTTAGCCATTCCTGATCGCCATTAGGGTTTCCTAGCACCCCTAAATGAAAATACATGTTAAAAAAAAAAGTAAAAAAAAAAAAAAAAAAAAATACCCCGTAGGCTTAAGCATGTTTTTGGTTTCAAGTGCCAATCACCTGTTCCCACATCCATCCCTAAGTAGTGACCTCATGAATTTCCTTCTACACAGGACATTTAGCGCTGTGTGTCACACTGTGACTGTGAGGGGCTGAGATCAGTCAGGCTCCCCTTCCCTGGGTCCCTGTGGAAGAGGAAAAATAGGGAATACCTCAGGGCAGGAAATGGAGATATTAAGATCTATCAGGATCCATTGCTCGTTTTCCACCCTCTCTTGTTCTGAAATCCCTTTTTCTCTCTTCTCTCCCTCCTTCTTCCCTAATCACTTACTTACGAGAGAAAAAGTCTTTGTCTCTTGGATGGTCCCAGCACCTTCTGCCCCCATCCCCACTGCCCAGCCTGTGTGTAGCCTGGCCATAAGCCCCACAGGAGGAAGGCGTGCGGAGTCTTTCAGATACTAGTGCTGATAGGAAAATTTTTCTGGGCAAGTGACGGTGGCTTGAGCAGCCCTTCCCCACAGGAACCTCACCCCCTACCAAGATTTTCTCCTGATGCCCTGGCCAGTTGGATGCTCCCCTCTCCCTCCTAATTTCTAAGTAAATCGCTAAAGGTCACAGCCTTGAGATTCCTCTCCTGGAGTGCTTCCTAAGGTGAGTCCAGCTGTGCCCCGGGGAATGGTGAAAACTTGGGGACCCCAGGCATCATGCCTGGCTTCTGAGTCTCTTCAATCAATAAGCACACTTTGCCCTGTACTGGTCTCACTTGTGGAGTTTGCCCCGGGGCTACCTTCTGCCCACAGGTGTCTTCAATGGGACGAAGTTTAGATGAGCCTTGAGACTAGAATAGGCAGACAGGTCCAGGCCCATGAGGAATTGCTTCAGTGCTTCCCATTCTCTGGACCCAGAAACTCTTCGGGGCCCCCTTTAATTGGAATGGCCGTGTGTCCTAGTTTGCCAGGACAATCCTGGTTCACTTCATTTTTTCTTTTTAAGATTTTATTTATTTATATTTGAGAGAGCGATAGAGAGTGTACATCTGCGAGGGGGAGGGACAAAGGGAGAAACAGACTCCCTGCTAAGCAGGGAGCCCGACATAGGGCTCGATCCCAGGACCCCGGGATCATGACCTGCTCAACCTGCTGAGCCACCCGGGCACCTGCTAATTCACTTCTTTTGTCCCAGAATCCCATCTCTCACCCTCAGTAGTGTCCCTATTCGTGCACTACATGATAGGATCACCTTGCCTCTAACCTGTTGTTGCTCAGTTTCACCTGGGGGAAGGATGCATGGGATGCCTAGAATCAGTCCAGAAGGACCTACTTGGATTCCAGAGAGAGGGGCAGAGGCAGAGGAGGTTAACTTCCTAGTGCTCTGAGCTGGATATTGGGGAGGTGGGGGGGGTGCTGTCTGAGGGAGACAAGGAAACAGCTGTAAGGATAAAGGGAAGGAGGCTCCCCTTGGGTCAAACAGGGTGTGCGGTGTGGACTAGATGATGTTTGTAACTTTCTCCAGCTCTGTTATGTCTCCAGGAGTGGGAGGGTGGGGGTCGTTCATCCTCCTGAGGACATTCCTTCATTCTTCAAGATTCACGTCCCTCACGTTGGCAAACCCCAGGTGTCCCCCCGGGCATCTCCCCCCACATCCTCCCAGCTGCTGATTCCCCTGCTCAGCATGCCCCAGCTGAGGATCAGCAAGCCTGCAGACCCTGTTCCCCGCCTGTGTGGGGTTATCTTCTCCCCACCTCCCCCTCCATCTCCATCCTGCTCCTGCTCAGCCCTCTCACTGCTCTGCACCCACAAATACCTGTCCTCCAATGCCCTGTCCCAGGCCACCCCCTCTGGTCCACACAATGGCCGCTTCTCTCTGGGGAGCTTACTTGTCCCTTCAGCTGCTCCTCTCCCATCCCACCCTTGTGAGGAGGCAGCACATGTGTCTAAAGCATGCGAGGCACAGCTCTTGCAGGTGCTGGTGTAGGGCCTAAACTCTGTCCCCTTTGGGGGGCTTTTTAGTCATTATAAAAATAAATAAACAAGAAAAAAACTGAGCTGCAGTTTGAGAAATCTAGAAATAATTACGACCGATGGGAAGTTAACAGGCACGTGATGGGTTCCCCAGGCCACCGCCGCCCTGGGCTGTTTCCTTTCCTGGCCTGTGGGAGCGGGGTCTGGAGAACCCCTCACATCCAGGTCCTGGACACTCAGTGCAGTGGGATGGACAGTGTCCACCTAGACTTCATGCCCACCCCGAACCTCAGAACAAAAGTGACCCAATTTGGAAACAAGGTCTTTGCAGATGTACATGTCAAGGATCCCAGGATGAAATCCTTCAGAATTCGGGGTGTGGCCTAAATCCAATGACTCCCATCTTGATAAGAAAAAAATAAGGGAGAAGTCAAGGCACAGGGACGCAGGAAGGTGATGTGGAGACAGGCATACGGTCGGAGGGTTGCTGCCACAAGCCAAGGACCACCAAGCAGACAAGATTCTCCCCTGGAGCTTTTGAAGGGAGTGCGGCCCTGCTCGCACCTTGATTTTGGACTCCGGAACTGGGAGAGAATAAATTTCTTCAGCTTTAAACCATCAAGTTTGTGGTCCTTTGTCACTGCATTGCTAAGGAACAAACACACCCTTCGGTCTGTTCCTGTGGGTCCTGCACGGGAAGTTGGGGGTGGCCACTCCACGGTCCCTCGGGGACAGGCACACCATTCTGGCCACTACTTGGAACAAACTTCCCCAATTTCCATCTTCCAGACAACGTGCCACGGTGTCACCGCTTACCAGTCATTTGATCTATGAACTGTGGCTTCCTCCCCCACAGAGGAGGGAGGACACCTGCTTCCAGGGCCATGGTGGGGATGAAGGGGGACAGCGCTGGTGCCAGGGCCCAGCCCCAAGTCGGGAACAAAGCAGGCCACCAACAAGGGACTCCACCTCCCTCATCCTTTCTTGGCTGTCAAACTTCCTTCTCACCCCTGACTTCCTGCCTAAATGAGCCTATCTCTGGTCTCTCTCACGGGTCTGTGGGTCTGTGTCTTCTTTCCCCTGATTGCATCCCTTCCCTCCCCCGGTGCAGGGTTCTACTGCGGTGAATGTGACTTGCTTGGAGAGTCTACCCCAGTAAGATAACTGTCTCTGCCTCAGCATGTGCTCGACATGCTGCATTGGGGGTGGCCTGCTCTCTACCCCATCAAGGGAAGGGCTGCTCCGGTGCGACACCTCAGCCCCTTCCCCATGCCTTCCCCAGGGCGTGACCCCGCAAGCCCCCCATCTGTGAAACCTCTGGGCTTCACTTAACGGTAGTTTCAACTCTGTGCCTTCTTTAGGATTCTAACCTAGGTATGCAGAATAGAGCTAGATCTGCTGAAATCTCAAAACAAGATGAGACGGAGGCCTTCAGAACAGACACAGATAAAACCTGAATGCATAATAAATGAAACCTGAGTCTGGAATTGAGAAATGACCAAGCATTCCAACACAGAGGTTGCCCTGCCCTGGGCCCCGTGCTGAGGTGGGGTTAGGGCTCACCTCTGCTCATCCTTACGCAGGTGCTCCCCACTCCTTGCCCTTCGGACCAACCCTACACTCTAGGAGCCCAGAATGCCTGGGTATGGACCACGGAGCCCATCCTCCACCAGGATGAACAGGAGCAAGCAGCCTTGCTTAGAAAGAAGGGTCAGTCCCTCCATATGCTGTAGGCGTGGGGCCTTCCTTAAATCTTCAAAGGACAGAACCTCATAGATACCCCCAAGAGACAACACGGCCAGGCAAGACACTTTTATTAAGTCTATTTCAGTTTCAGGGTTGAGGAGCTCAGTCTGCAGGAAAGCATAGAGAAGGGACAGATATCCCATCAGGAAAGAGATAAGAGGGGGAGAGAGAATAACTTTTAGAAACGCCGACTGGAAGCACGTCAAGGAGAACCTAGGGTAAGGACGATGAGCAACTCAGGATGCATTTTCAGAGCTGGTCTCAGGAACCCTTTCTCTTGACCTGCAGAAGAGAGGGCATTGTCAAGGTCCCAGGGGCCATGAATAGCAGGATGGGGCTCAGGGAGCCTGACTCTGGGCCTGATTTTGGGTATAGGTGGTCGACTCTCCCCATCCTCTGACGCAGCATCCTATAACAATTCCCATACTTTCTCACCAGTCTGGCAGTCCCATTATGCTTTCCTTGAGAAATAGACTATATCAGGGCTAAGCCAGGCTCTGAGATCCCCTCATGCTCCATGCATGATGTTCTACCCTCTCCCTCCAGCCTGCCTCCCCATCCTGCCCACCTCCTTACCTTGGCCATCAGCACCAGGGCGCTGACCAGCACGGCATACAGGGTGGCCTTCCCCAGCAGGATCTCATAGAGGATGGTGGCAGACAGGATGCCCTGCTGATAGGCCACTGTGGGCGGGAAGGGAGAGCGCACAGGGACCTGTGAGCAGGTGTCTCTGGCCTCTCCACCCCCCACCCCGGGGTCCATGGTTCTCCATGCTTGGCTTGCAGGACAAAACCATGGGAGACGGAGAACAAGCAGAGGAGAGGGTCACTTACCTGAAGTGAAGCCACAGTCTGAAAGAGAGAAGGCGGAGGGAATGGATGAGAGACCCCGTCTTCTAAAGCAGACGGAAAGCTGCCAAGTTAGGCACACGTGAAGCTAAGGCAATACTATTTGTCAGCTGTGCTTCAGTTAAGAACCGACCAGACACAAACACAAACACACTAAGTCAGCCTCCTGGTTAGCACGGACCCCCAGGCTCAGACCAGGCTTCTCGCAGACGCCTAGACCGTCTTTCTGGAGCTGTGCCCGCGGAGCCACACCATCCCAGGACCCCATGGAATGTGGTGGCACAGAGGGGCTGGGGGCACCCCCGTCAGTGCTGAGCCATACAGGCTCGGACAGTGAGGGGACCCCAGCTGCAAGGCTCTGCTGGGCTGAGGATCTGGGGAGGAATTAGCCCCGAGGTGCCCGTTCACCCTCACGCTGGGCCTTAGTCTTCCCGCCCTGTCCGGTGTCTGCCTGGTCTTCTGCCTGGATCCCCCCTTTCTGTGCTCTAACTCACTCCCCACCCAGCCCCCCAGGCCCCGCTCACCTGCTCTGCCCCAGGTCTCGTCACTGATGTTCTGGGTGATGGGTTTGGGCCGGCTGGTGTTTTCCCACTTGTCGTCGTCCCCGAGCCCGTGGAACTGGACTTGGCAGCGAAAGTGGTTGCGAGGGTTGTGCCAGAAGGCAGAGGACACCCTCAGCCGGCTGCTCAGACAGTAGCTGGAGCCATTCTCGTTGGGCCGCTCCTTGTAGGGCTGCGGGTCCGTGCTGACCCCATTCTGGACCTCCTTCCCGTTCACCCACCAGCTCAGCTCCACGTGGTCGGGGTAGAAGCCCGTGGCCAGGCACACGAGTGTGGCCTTCTGGGTGCGGGAGGTCTCTGCTTCTGATGGTTCAAACACTGTGACCGTGGGAGGTTTGACCTTTTCCAGGTTCTCTGCAAGGGAAGAGAGGTTGGGACCAGGGCTGGTCTGAGAGCTGTCTGGGTTTGG